CCACAGCACTCCAGTCTGGGCGACAGAGTGACTCCAACTCAAAAAAAAAAAAAAATCACAGCAGTGACGTCAGCGTCATTTCTGCCCTGCACTGTCATGCTTTAGAGAAACCATGGAAACATCTAGGGAAACCCAAAGAGGACGCAATATTTGAGGGTGATGGACACTGCCATGTATGGCAAGTCATCAGGCAAAGTATCAACTGGGATCGGCACTGTTTTATTGGTAACACTTGGGAGCTTTAGTGGCTTGGGGCAGGGGCGAGAAGTCCCCAGGGAAGCTGTTGAGTGCTGCTGGCCATCCGGGCCTGGTGTGGGGAGTGCTGGCAGGGGCCTCACACAGGTGGCCCTGGTAGTGGTACCCCATGAGCCAGCCAGGGCAGATTGCTCCTCAGACCTGCTTGGGGAGGAGCGCTTGCTGCTGCGGGCAGCGGGGGTGACAGGCGCCCCCAGCACTGGAGACCCGCGGGCTCAGCCCAGTTACCTCACGCGGGACCTTCCAGAGCGAGGTCTCGCAGGCACAGTTCGCGCCCTCCCTGGCTCGGCATTGCGGCCATTTCCAGGCTGCTGTGCCCCTGCTGGGCAGCCCCAACCCACTCCCCCGAGGCTGTTGCTCACTTAGATCCTGTCGATTTGCTCTGCTGAATGCAGCCTGCAGCCAAGATTACTTTTTACAATTTGTGATGCCTTACCAATTTGATCTGAATCCTGTATTTAAAGTTTTCTAACATTGCCTTATACTGTGTTTCTCTTTTGGGGGGGGTTAATTGCTTGCTTTCTGCTCGTCTGCACCCTAGTGAATGCTATGAGGGCAGTTGGAACATCATTGGCCCACAAATCTGAGGCCGTCCTTGGGGCCACTCTGGACCGGTCCTGAGCCAGTCTTGAGCCTTGCTTTCCTCTTGCCCAGTGGGCTCTGCAGGGCAGGGGTGAGGCGAGCTGCTGCCCACCAGTGCTTCCAGAAGCCTCACCCGGCTCTGGAGACCCTCCTGCCCCAAAGGGGTACCCTTTCAACAACCTCCTGTCCCAGCACAGCCAAGCTCATCCCAAGGTGTTTCTAAACCTCCCCCAGTGGCCCATCCTTTACTCCTCCAGTATTTATAAGATCAAGCCTTGGCTTCAGGACACAGAGGTTCTTTTCTCTCGTGATCACTCGGATGCTCACTGCAGAGTGGCTTCTAACTCAGTGTTTCAACCTCAGCGGGGCTCCTCCTGGTCCACACTCCCCTCCCTGCTAATGCAGTGTGATGGCCCCATCAGATGACACTCGGCCAAGTCACGGTTTCTCTGTGGCCACAGGTTGTTGGTTTGTGGAAAGCAGAGAGGACCCCAAGAGGCCAATATAGTCAACCCAGTTCTGCAACTGTAGCACGTCAACCCTAGTGCTGTTCCCATTTCCCCTGGCCCTGAGGGGGCCGGTGCCGGGGACGGGGAGATCCCTTTGCTGGTAGGAGAAGAAAAGTGTGATCTACCAATTGGTTTTGGCAAAACAATTTCTGAAAAATTTTTTTGCTTTACGTGGGAAATAGATCTAAATCTCATTTTATTCTGTATTTTATATCTTAGTTGTGTTTGAAAATGTTTTGATTTTTGGAAACACGTCCAAAATAAAGAATGGCATTTGTTGTATGCAATGTGATCCTATGGGGCTGCCCAGGCTGGGGCTCTCCCCAGGGAGTTGGGTTGATTCTTTAGGTTTCTCTGAAGACCACTCAGAAGCTGTGTCCAGAGAGAATTCCTCCACCAGAATCCCTGCTGCTTCCTGCAAGCAGTGGGCAGGAACCCCGCAGACCTCTCAGCCCTGCCGGAAGGCAGCCAGTGTCCTGAGATGAGGGTCTGTGGGCGGAGGGGACACCAAAGGCTGTCTCAAAGAGTGGTCAAAATGTGCTTTCTCAGCATCTTTTATTACCCTGACTGTTTAAAGGCACTGAAGCTCTTCGGTTTGCGGTGATGACTCTTGAACTTCTTTTTCAACGATCCCAGCTGCTTCTGTAGCATAAACAGAGACTTCCAGTTACTAGAGCCCTCTCATCCCATGGGAGAAGGCTCTGGAATCTGGGCTCCCTGACCCTGCCCTCGGAGAGCTGGAAGCGTTAGTCTGACAGCTGCTGAGGCTACAGGATGTGACAGCACTCCACGGAGTAGCCAGGAGCACAGCACAATGCCAGACTCCGGTGGAGACCTTGACCTCTTCCAGCCCCGCCCGGGTACCTACCGGCAGGGACGAAGTCTTTACTCCTGCCCAACAGTAAAGGCAAAGGTGGCGTCTAATCGGGTCCCTTCTCCTGGATTCCTGTGCTGCAGGGGCAAGGCCACACCAACCACAGCCCGCAGTTGGGAATGGGGGTTGTATTCGCTGACGACTGGCCTTGAACCTGGCCCGTGGAGCCCACTTCCACGAGGCACAAACCCGGGAGTGATAAGAGGCAGGCACATCCTCGGCCTCTACTATGCTGTCAGCTTGGGAAGGTTTTTTTTCTTTAAGGAAACTGGAAACCATCGCTAGAGAAGGCTGCTGCCACTCAGCAGCCTAAGGTTACACTCACCTTCCTGCGCCTCCGGACCAGCACCTGGTCTGCTGCTGCCTCCTTCCTGTCCCCAGGGCCCTCTTCTCCTGGGGGCCCTGGCTTCTGGCCCTCTTCATCTGTCAAGAAGTCATCGGTGCTGTCCCTGTTCTCAGCCCCGCCTTTTTCATGCTTTCTGGTGAACAGCTCAGCTAGAGGGAACAGAGGGACACTTCAGGTGGAGTTTGCTGCCATGTCCCGGGAGCTGAGGCTAAGCTGAGAGGAACCCCGGGGGGGGGCGGTGGTGCAGCCAAGAGCACATGGCTATTCACCGGTGAGCATGCTCGCTCCGCTTACGTGGGTACAGGTCTGTCATGCTGTCATCGCTCGCAGATCCCCCCTCGTCGCTGGACGTGGGCTCCCAGAAGGCTTCCCTTGCGCGAGGCCTGACCCCATCTACCAGGTCCTCCCTCTTCCTCTTCCGGTGCAGTAGGCAGGCAGGGATGTACTCCACCCCTTGCTTCTGACACTCTTCATCTGGGAGACAAGGCAGGGCACACCTGGTACCTCATGGCCCACCCCATCCCACCTGTCCATGGGGCCCACGGCTAATATGTGGGGGCCGTGCCCTACCAGGGGCCCCTGGTCCCACCTTACTGGATAAAAGCCAGAGCAGTGGCGGCTGAGTGCCTCAACTACCCATCCTGGAAACAGCCAGAAGACAGCGGTAGCCAGGAAGGTACTGGGCAGGCCCAAGGCGAGCTATGCCCCCAAGCAGAGGCTGAAGCCCTCCCCTCGGCCCAGGACAGGGCCCCGGCCTGGGTGGGGCATGGTAGAAGTCGGCACCTGGCCCTTGCTGGCCCTTGGCTTGGAGCAGGGAACTGAGACAGGGCTTCCGTGGACAGACCTTGCTGGAGACGTTCCCAATGTTTCCTTGTGTATTAAGAGGGTCTGCTGGGACTCGCCCTCTAGCCAGCAAGGCTTACTTCACCTCTGCCGGCCGCTCCCATGGCCACAGCAGCCTTGTCACCACCAGAACTTGCAGGCGGAGTCCTCACAGTGACCTCAGCTGGCTCCCCTCCAGGCCACCTTCTGACTCTTCCAGAACACTGCCCTGTGGCAGCCTCCCCACCCCAGGTCCCACCTGGGCTCCATGGTCTGTCATCATAACCACTCTGCTCAGGGGGAACCACCCACATCCAGCACCTTCCTGCCTACCCCAAGCCGCTGAACATAGCTGGACAAAGTCTGAGCCCCAGCTGGTGGCCCTAGTGCCTGCAGCCTCTGCAGGACGCCGGCTCTCCAGGAAACCTAGGTCCTGCCTCCTCGAGCCTCCGTGCGTATGCTTGGGAGGACTGAGCCACAGTCCTCACCGGGAAACCAAAGTCCATGGACTCCCCATCCTCCAGCCGACCTGAACCTGTGCCCACCCAGGGCAGGACAGAGGCGAGTGTGACTGCTCACGGGCTCCTGGCCCAAGCCCTCAGCCTGCTCTACCTGACTCACAAAGCACCATCATCCCTCACCCCTTCAGCCCCTTCCCGCTTCCCTCCAATCTGACTCCATAAAGGCCTTCTGGGGACCCAGTACCTGCCCAGACCCAGGCTCTAGCTGGCTGTCCCCAACACACCTCAAGTGCCTTTGTCAAGATTCTCAGTGGCCACCAGGGTGCCCTATCTCAATCCTTTTTCTGTCCTCACCTTCGTTCAGTAACACTGGAGGACTTCTGGGCTCTCCTTCCTCTGGAACGCTCCCTGGCTGAGCTCACCCCACTTCTGCAGAGCAGTCTCATGCCCCCCAAGCCCCCTTCCCTAATACACCTCAAACTCAAAGCACTCAAAAGACTCTGAATTCTACCCAAACCCATCTCCATTAGTTCTCAAGCTAGAAAGGGGTTCCCAGTGGCCTTTCTGCTCCCCGCTCCCCAATCTCTTCAATCCACAAACAGCTGAAGCATGTCCCCACCTGTTCCTCCCAAGCCACCATCTTCGCCTGAATGACTGCAGAGACGTCTCCTCCCTTCTCCCGAGACCACGCAGACTGTCTGTGCCAGTCCACACACCCATTGCCAGGCTCCAGGCCAGGGCCTCTGGGTCCCTTAGTGACCTACTCCGACCCTGCCGCGCATGCTGGCCCAGGTCCCTCCTTCAGAGCCTCCCCAGCCAAGCAATATTCTGCCTCAGGCCTCCACAGATTCTGGCCTCCTCCTACGGCACTGGCCCATCCTTAAGTCCCTCCAGTCTCAGCCTCCAGAGAAGCCCCCCCCGCCAGGGGAGTCTTCCCAACGCTCCTGTCTCCCTACCCCTCGGGTGTCCCCAGCCCCTCACATTGTTTCTTCCACACCACTTATCGCAACGTGCGGTCACCTCTGAGCCTGCTTGTAGGTCTGCACCTGTCTTCACTGGAGGCTCCCAGAGGTCGGGGTCATCATCCATCTCTTTGCTGAACCAAATATCCCTGATGAGTGACCAAGGCACCACTCATGCTTTCCGGGGTGCTCTCTGTCCCAGGAGGGAGGGACACTTACCCTGCACACTCTGCTGGAGGGTCCCCAGGGAACTTACATTTCTGTAGAGCTCTCTGGTACCGCCGGCCCTGGGTATGTCTCAGCACGTGCTCTGGGGACTTGTTGATGTGCCGCAAGGTAAGTTTGCAGAACAACTGGTGCCTACAGAGCAAGGAGACCTTGGGTGACAGGGACCATTCACAGCAAGGTCTCAGGCCAGTGGCGCTCCCCCGTGGCTGCATATTGGAATCACGCTGGACCATCTGATGAGAATGGTCTCCGGTGCGGCCTGGCCATCGGGTTTTTAATAGCACCCCAAGTTAGCCGGTCTTGGTGGCTCAGCCTGTAATCCGTGCCTTGGGAGGCTGAGGTGAGTGGACTGCCTGAGTCCGTGGGTTCGAGACCTGCCTGGGCAATTTGGCGAGACCTCATCTCTACAATATATCAAAATGAGCCGGGTGTGGTAGTGCGTGCCTGTAGTTCCAGCTACTTGGAAGGCTGAGGTGGAAGGATCGCCCGGAGCCCAGCAGGTCGAGGCTGCGGTGGCAGGGAGTGGGCACTGCACTCCAGTCTGGGCAACAGAGTGAGACTCCAACTCAAAAAAAATAAAAAATCAATAAATGCTCCCCAAGCAATTCCTCTCTGTGGCTGGGGTGGAGAACTGAGGACTCTTAATGTTTACCTGAAAAACTAGTACCACAGCCTCATCTATTGCTCTAGGATGAGTTGACCCACATGGAGACAACCTGGCACAGTGATCAACTAGTGGGAGCCGTCACCATCGTTCTGTGACTGGATGGTTACTGCCAATCCCACAGTCTCGCTAAATCAAGGCTCTCTTCTGGGGCAAAGACATGACCCTGACACTGGTCATGACCTCAGGTGACAAAGCACATACCTGATCCTCCGAGAAGCAGCCTCACCCCATGACAGACTTGATGATTACAGAAAACCAAAGGAGCTCACCAAGGTGCCTCGCAGCATCAAGGCTCCCACCTGAATCCCAGGACCACCCGAGTAAAGAGGGGGGACTACAGCACTGGCCTAGTCCTCGGGGGGGGGGGGGGGGGGGGGGGGT